GCTTAAATTCTTTGAAGTTAAAGGTAAGTAAAAAGTTATTTATTGTCAAGTTATGTTTAATTTTATAGTTGTTAAATTGTTAGATTAAATTCAATATATTAAAGGGATTAAATATAATAAATTATGAAATTGAGTAAAATGAAAGAAAAACTAGTTTTAGTGATTAAAGAGGTTTTAGAAATCGCTTAAACATGAAATGATTAAGTTTGGGTATCGCCTATTTAATTATTGAGATTACTTAAAATAGTTAATTGTTGATTTAAAAATTTTATCATATTTTAGACGGCGATACAGATATCGGGACAACTTACCAATCGAGCTGATATTGGTGTACATAGCTCTGTGAGTGGAAAAATATCTATACTTTTAAAATATATATAAATTAAGTATATTGTTAAAGTATGTGCAATTATGTGTTCGAATTACATGATTATTATGGAAATCTCTTTTATTATGATACATGTGGAATTTTAAGGATTATTTATTGTACACTTGTGACTTGGTATATGAGACATGTGATATTGAAATTTGTTTGATATGTGAGACATGATATTGAGATCGACCAGAAAACTACCCGTGATTATGTACTTCTTCTAGTTCACAGAGGGGCCTTGGTCGTGTTCTATACTACACTGAGGGGTCGACTGGGGATGAAGGGGTTGTGATTGTGTATATATAGTTCACTGAGGAGCCTTGGCTGTGTTCTAGAATTGATTATCAGAGGTTTTGAGACCCGCTTTCCTTCACAGAGAGGCCAAAGGCCCGTGGCGAAAGTTCTTAGCCCGATAGGTGGATTACAGATTTTAGTCAGATGGTACATTTTTGGTGAATTTTTCAATACATCTGATGTGATGAGATTATAGCATGATTACCATCTTATGATTATATCATGACTTGAAATGATATTTTACCACGTAATGTGAATGTCTCATGTCTTGGCTATAATTATATGATGTTATCTTACGAGTTATCAATGATATGAACTCGATTTTCGATAAAAATGTAAAAATGAAAAAGTATAATTATTTTCGAACTTCTCCACTCACCGAGCTATCAACTCATAAATTTTTTCGTAATTTTCCTACAAGTGGAAATTGATTTTTTTTAGCTGGAAGAGCCTAATGATTTCGAATGAGAGCCACACGACATGTTGAGTGTTATAACTCATTTTGATGGAGCACAAAGTAAATAATTTGGACCCATCGCATTATGTCAGCTTTGGTAATAGATTTGACATCTAGTCAGCATTTATCCTCGGCGCACGTCACGCTTCCGGTCCACTAGGGTGATTCGGAACAAGTCGTGTCAATTCCTGACACAAAAATCACATTTAGGGCCACCATCACCTATAATTATATTCATGTATTTTTTCTCTTTCTATTAGGATTCTAGTTAAGCATAAATGAAAATAAGAACTAGTGGATCAATTTAGAATTATGTAGTTTTATTTAATTTTGTTTATATCTTTTTAAGTAAATTTATATATGATTTTAAAATATAATAAAATTTAATTTTTAAAAGTGGATGTATATATAAAAAGTGTTGATGGAAATAGTGGTACCGGATAAGAAATTGTTTTCATCCTTGAAATACGCCATTGTTTAGCAATGAAGGATTCCCCGTCGAACATCTAAATCATACAGATAAGTCACCAGATTGTTCAACAACAAAGCAATTATTGTCTCATGCTCAGAGCCTGTCTACCATATGTGCATGAAATGATAAAAAAAAGTGATAGTGTCTGCATAGTCCATTGTTTTTGAATAGTGTGAGAACTTTTTGTTGGAGGTATACAGCAAGAATTGGTTATTAACTTGGTTTGTAACAATTATTATGTATTGGTCATTCAATTGAATGTGGGGAATTGAGGTTGGAGAAGGAGACGGATGAGGGAGAAATGTAAAGGATTTAGTATTATTCTTTATATTTTATTTTAATTGTTTAAAGGGTTAAAATCTGTTTTGAAACTTGATTGTTGTTGGAAAGTGCAATTTTTTATTTTCTTTGAATTTCGAATTAGGGGTATTTTTAAATGGATATTGAGTAGAATTTCCTAAATTTTGTGTAATTACAAAGACAAGATTCTCTGTAATCAATTTTTTCTGTATAAATTCTTCGAAAATATTTTTCTTTAGTTTGACATGTAACCTAGGAGCTATAATCAAATATATCTTGTCGTTACATGTTATCAATGCATAATGTGACCTGTGATTTATGGCATTTTGATCTATAACCTATTACCTTATAGCTGTAACTAAATACCTATCTAGTTGTGATCTGTTACCAATGATATGTGACCAGTGACCTGAAAGTTGTAATCAGTTATATGTTTAGTTGTGAGTTGTTATCAGTGTATAATGTGACCTGGGATTTGTGACCAAATATGTCTTATTGTGACCTTTTATCAATTCTAATGTGACTTGATACTTGTGACCAATGACATGTAACTTGTAACCAGTGACCTAGAAGATGTAATTAGATATATGTCTAGTTGTGACATGTTATTTATCGGTCACAATTTCTCAAATTTATCGCTCACAATAACAAACTTTATAAGTCACAACTTATTCACGATCACAAATTGGTCTTAAGTTAATTCTCGATTACAAATTATCAAATTAATTACAACTTATTTCTCAATTACAAATCGCAAATTTTATAGGTCATAACATATTTCATGATCACAAATTATCAAATTAATTGGTGAAAACTCATTTCTCGATCACAAAAAATATAAATTGTCACAATTACAAATTTAGTCACAGGTCACATATTTTTAGGTCAAATGTTATTTATTAACCACAATTTATTCTTTTTATTGATCACAATTATCTGGCTACAACAACTCTTTCTCAAACCTATCCCTCCCCGCTCCTGCTCCCATTCCCACCACCACCAGCATCAACCCTAACACTTCAAAACCAGTACCACCTCAATCAAAACTACCATCATCATCACCATCTCTACATCAAATCCTCCACCACCTCCAACCCAACATCACCAACTACACCTCAAATGCCGCGTTAACCACCACCACCAAATAATTCACAAATGCCTAAGCGCCACAACCTGCATCACCACCACAACATCCTCAATCACAACCATCATCACCACCTCTACAATGAGAAATGAGAATATATACGAAGAAGAGAAAGCCTAGACGAAGAAAAGGAAGCCCAATGCAGATCTATGAAGAAGATGAAATAGGAATTTGGTGGTTTTATGCTTTGCAGAAGCTACATTTCCCAATCTCATCTTAGCACATTCATTACCTTTCGAATTTCAGCAGAATAAAAAAGTCCCAAAAACACTATACCAGTGCATCAACGACAGTGTGAATATCTGCATGTGAGAGAGAGATCTGGGTTTTTAAGATTTTGAAATTAGTTAATCAACTTGCAAATCTGGGTTAATTACTAATCCTACCTTATTTGATAATATAATTAACACCTAATCTTTGAATAAAATTAGTTAAAACTTGATTAATGATAATATAATTTTAATCACATGTTTTCCTATAATGCGAAGTGCCTAAGTTCATTTAAAGAAGTGGGCCTACCTTGCTCCAATGCTGTCCTGCCAACAAAGGCTGAAGCTTTGTTCGAGCTCTTTCCGAAAAAATAAATTTTATAATAATAATTTTTTGGAGATTGTGCAGTTAGAGAATAGGAAAAATTTTAGATTTACAAGTAAAATTATTTTATTGAAAGTAGTAAAAATGAGTTATCGAAAAAATTAATTTTTTAAATTAATGAGGGTTGAATCTTTTTAAACCAGTTCAAATCACTATTATTTTGTGAAATTTGAGCTAAATGGCTGCTGTAATTTATATAATTTTCTCTAAATAAAATGTTGTTTTTACAATTATTTAAATTAGTTTAAAAATTTGTAAAAAGAACATTTTATTTAGAGCAAATTACATGAACTTTCCAGGCTATTGTATAAATTTTCTTATTTCACTCGCATACTACAAAACTTATAAAGAGGTGTAGCATAATCTCTTATACTTTTACTATTATCTGCATATCTAAAGAATTTGAGATTTTACCCATCAGAAAATTAATTAGTCCAAAGTTAAGTTACATGTTTTCCTCGTAAATTTGTATTTTTTTTTTTTCAGTAAATAAATACTTTTAATTTGTCGTGGTTAATTTAATTAAAAAGAAAAAAAAAGGAAAATTTGAAAACATTTCAATTAGGAACTTTTTTTTCTAATTTGTTGGGTAAATATTGTTTTTCTGCACAATGTGCAGCACATTGTTGCCTTGTTGGATCCAAGAAGTTGAGAATAATTGCTAAGGAAGGCACCAGGTCTGTGGACAGCAAAGAAGGAGACAAAAAGATAGAAGATAGAAAGTAAAAGTAAAAATATATATATAATAATAATAATAGTGTACCTTGAGCAAAGGGCAATACTATAGAGTGCATGTATAAACACTGCTTGCCTTTCTCGATGATAATAGCATGTTTACAATTGTTCTTCGTCGTGAGAGAAAATGACAGAATTAGAGTCAAGTAAGATGCTTCAACTTACTTTGCGTTATTTTATTTTATTTTATTATTATTATTTTTTTTGTTCATTTGTGGTTGTTGTCTCAAGTTTCCTTTTTCAACTTGAGCTCTATTATTCAATTGCTAGTTCACAAATAAAACTTGCGAAGCAACAAAGAAGATAGTACTTTTTATGGTCCATTCACAGTGCCAGGAACAGCAACTTTTCTTGACTAGTTTGAAAAACTGCTTGCCACTCAACTTATAGCATTGTTTCATTTAGTCATCAAACTTTCTTTTCTTTTGCTTTAAGTTTGTCACTAAACTTTCATTTTTTGATTGGCGAACAGATAACACAAAGCTTAATCTAGCAGGTGTGGCTATTGTGCTGGAGGAGCTAACTGAGGATAGTTTTGAAACCTGGAAAAATTGCTTGAAAAATTATTTCATTGGGAATGGGCTTTGGGATGTTGTCTCTAACGAGAGTAAACCAGATAAGACAAATAAACATGAGCGTGAAAAATGGAAGAAAAAGAATGCTTTGGCTCTACATGCAATCCAACTTTCATGTGGATCAGCAATACATTTCTGCTCACTATGTATGGACTCATTTGACTGAGAGGGATTGGGCTCGGGTTCGACAACCAGCGCCAAGCTCAAATCACGATGAAGAGAGTCATGTCGAAGATAATGGTACTATTTCAATACTTGTAATGAACTAGTTTGTCTAAAAACTTATCATGTTATAAGAAACACGAAATTGCATTATTTGTTCTCATTTATTTAAAAATGAGTAAGTTAGTCATCAACCATTTATTACAGTTGCACAATCAGTTCTCAAAGACGAAAATTGTTCAAATCTTTGTTAAATTGTCATGTAAACTTCAGTAACTATCTATAAAATTTAACTCTTAGATATTCTTCCACAAGAACAATGTGGTGGCACCAATTTTCCCTTTTATTTAATGAACTTTGTATTCGACACAAGCCCCTCACATACAGGTCGACAACATTGTTTGCAGGGTCGAGAAAGCACCTTGCTTACGAGCACTTATACAAGGCAATTGAAGAAGGTAAGTGGCATTCTATAGAAGAAATCCTTCGGCAGAATCAAGATGCGATTAGGGAAATAGTTTCATCACACAAAGATACAGCTCTGCACATTGCAATTTTGTCTGGACACATTGAAATTGCAGAAAAACTTGTAATCACGATGGATGCAGCTGACTTAAAACTGAAAAATGAATACGGAGCTACGGCCTTATCTCTTGCTGCGATCTGTGGTGCAATGAAACTGGCCAAGGCAATGGTATGTAAGAACAAAAAATTAGTTACAATAGAAACTGCAGATCATGAAGATGGGCATCTTCCTGTGATTGTGGCTGCATTTTATGGAAAAAAAGGAAATGGTTATTTATTTATATAATGTCTCATTAAAAAAAACAATGAAGAATTGTACTTCTATTTATACTAGATCCTAGATAGAAGTCGAAAAGGAATAAAATTCTAATAATCTAGTAGAATCTGAAAAATATTCGTCCAATATCTCTAGAATTTGACTAAAAATAGAACTATAATAAAATATGGAAAAAACGCGAAAAAAGAAAAATTCTGCCCGATTTAACACTATGCGACCGCATAGTGTAAACCTATGCGGTCGCATAGTTCAATTGAACTATGATTGCATAGTCCCTGCCTCTATGCATGCGGTCGCATGCCTATTATAGCTATGCGACCGCATAGCTTTCACTTTTGCCATTGGCTTCTTCTATTTGTATTGAATTGCTCCACTTTGATTCGATTCTTGACCCGAACATGAAAGTTGTCCCATTTTGCATCCTGAACATCTTCCCATCAATGGTTTCTTGAACGAGCAATTCCATCGCTTGTTTCACTTACTTTTCTTTCGATCGCGTCATCGTTCCACCTTTGATTATCAACGGGTCTCGTCTCGCACTCGCCTTCGTCTGGCTCGGCTCTGGATCACATCAAGTAGTAGAATTATTCTCTAATATTTTCGGGTCGAACTATCACCCAATAAATGCCAATAAAAAAGCTAATCCTTAAAATGGCTTTTATTATCTTTCTCCTTGCTTGCCCAAATCCTGCCCCAAACTTGTAATTACTCCAAATGAGGTGCATAACTAGAAAGAAAGTTCCCTCTTCATTCGAGTACAACATGCCTTGTTTTTTCAACGAATACTGTGAGTATTGTGAATTTAATCTTTGCACTCGTTTGATTTTCTTTCGATTTTTATTAACATTTCTCCTTCTATGAAAGGAAAAAAGTCTACTAGAGGTTCGAGCACTTGCTGACCTTCAAACTTTTGTGACTCTATTTCTTAATTTGAATTCAAAACTTTGCGAAGCAGAGAGACTGCTTCATCCTTCTAATTCAAACTTTTACAACAATAGGATAGAAACTACGATAGGTAAGTGTGCATACTAAAAGCTTCTTTTTGTCTTTAAACACTTCTAACTTTAATTTTTCCTTCATAGCGAGGATTGATTTTGATGCAATTCCAACTGGAAATTGCTAGAAGAAAAGCTTTCATGTGCCTACTTCTCCTAATGATGTTTTCTCATTGCCGGCCGAAAGATCAAAGGTTATGTCCTTGCAAGGGGCCTAGGAGATCTAGGGGCATTTCTTTGAAGAAAACTAAAACCCTTCATCAATTGTCAAATATGATTCTACTTTTAGAAGAATGAAGGTGTTGTGTACTAATAATCATCAGGAATATCAAGTCTATGTTGTTTTGGACCTTTTTAATATCGTTTCTTATGGTTCATTTTGTGCAGGTTCATTAATGAAAACTTCATAGTGATGTGTTTGATCATTAATTTTTTGTTCTGGTAAATTGTCAAACATCCAATAGCTGGAAGAACAACAACATTAGAAGAAGTTGAACACAAAAGAATTTGAACTCTAACTTCTTGAATTTCCATAATACATGGTGCTACAATCCCACAAACTTTACCATTCTCAATCAGTTTCAACAATAATAGTAATATGGCCAGGATACTAAAATCTAAAACCTTTTAATTTTTTTTGGATAACCAATAAAGTTCCACGGGTCACTCTTGAGTTAATTTTTTTCCCATGTGGACTACAAATTCTTACTTCTATCTTACAACCCCAAACATGCAAGTGCCTTATACTAGGCTACCTTCTCATCTAGTATTTAAATTGAGTCGTTAGAACTACCTTATGAAAAACCCCTTTATCTATATTCACAATCGACTTTAAATCACATATCTTCAAAAATACAGGAAAAGAAAAATTAAATTACACTTCGGGGTATTGTCTACTCACATCATACTCTCCGACCGTATTAAATTCTAAAAAAGTCCGGTATCATGAATAAGTAATAAAATGATAAGTAAAGTATCGTTCTCATGAAAACTAGACCGTTCCCATGAAAAACTATGTACTTTACCTATGATCAGTAAATGTTAACTTTAATCGAATAGCCAAATATGCTTGAAGAATTAATACTAGTTAACTAATTAAATTATTCTAATGATCAAATTATGGAAAGCTTTGTAAATTTAGATAAGATGATTACTAACACTTTGAATCCCCATTCTTAGTCCATTTTAATATAATTCAATATCATGATAATATGTATGTGTTCTTGTTGATCGATGTTCCTAAATTATTTAATAATATCTCTCAAGGAAAATTAAATTCATCCCTCGTATGACCTTTTTGTATCTCTACGAAAGATGTGAACATGAAAATATGCATTAAGAGCCTATTTGAGCCCTCTATTTTGCCCAAAATGTATTTTGATATAGTATTTTGATGGTGAATATGTAGTTAGGAAATAAGAAAAACTTTTGAATTTTTATGTAATATTAATTTATTGAAGGATGTGTAGTTGAAAATAAGAGAAAAGTGTATTTTAAAAATAACGGGGACCAAACAAGGACTAAAAACACTAAAACATCTATTGGAATCATAAAAATCATAATGTGTATCTCTATCTCTTTTCGGACCTCATAATGGTTGTTAAAAGTGGAATTTCCAATTATCTCTCTCAATAACAATAAAATTCGCAAATCGATCCAAGTAATGAGCAAGTAATTGAAATGCATTAAACATAATAACAATCATTTCAGAATAAACACATATTGAGCATCCAAATATTGAATTTATATTCAAAGCTTCATAACAAGGGTTCATCTATATCTTAGTAAATAGAAATCTAGCCTAACATTACAAAAGTAAAAGAAATCATAATAATATGTAGAACATCACCTGATTTATTGATAAATTAATAACAAGAAGAAGAAGAAAATAAATCTTGGAATTTTGAATCTCTTAATGATTTCTCTATTGATCTCCAATTGCATCTTCTCTTTTTTGCCTAAGAATCAAAATTGGATCTTCAATTAATTGAAAATTTTCAATTTCCTCTTAATTCTTTCAAAAGTTTGATGAATTGGCCACACTTTTCTTGTAATAATTCATGAAACATAGTGTATGAGAGGTCCTTTGAATGTTTGCCTATGTTCTTGATTTACAGAATGTGAAATTAGGTCAAGAAACACGTCTAAGTTGGGTTCCGAAATAGTTTCAATCAAATAAAAAAAGTTGTCTTTGCGTTGTGCATGGTTATGTCTCTGTTTAGCCAATAGTATTTTTATCAAATTTTGATATTCAATGTTCAATTGACTAGATTTGAAGTGCGTTAGAACTCTAACTCAAAGAAGTAAAATTATTCTAGAAGTATCATTTTTCCAATTCAAACTTTTACTATATGAAAAAATGGGTGTCTCGATGTACGTCTGAAAATCTGGATTGGTGAAAATACTTTGACTATATTTCAATACTTCACTTACTTGACTTCTAATCACATCCAGTTGATCCTATGTGATCTCCAATCATCTTCTTGTGGTCCGAACTAACTACTAGATATTTAAAATTAGGTCCCCAAACTATGGAAATTCTCAATTTTCGCTAATTTTTGCTTCTTTCTTTCAATTGCACTTTCAATCATTGAGTTTTTACTTAACAAACAAAATATACATAAGCATTACTTTTACCTTTATTTCCTAACCTACATAAGCATTAGGCTTACCTTTACTTTTGAACATTGCCTTACATTTCAAGCAGCCTTTTTTATACTAAAATGACACATAGCTTTCTTGTGCATTTGGACATAAGATTCATTTATCTTTGTGGTCCTTTCTTAATGTCCTTTCTAAACTTCCTTTTTATATTTCTTTTCAGCTCTTTGATGACTTTACATGATGAATGGAATTAGTTCTTTTAATTTAAGCCTTGCCCTTTGAAGTATTATAGGTCATTTGTAGTGGACCTTATTCAGTAAGCAAGGAGTTGGATTATATTGTATCACTAAGTTGTCATCTGCAGTCATTCCGATAATCTTTAAGTCTTGCTACTATATTAGACATCTCAATAACATGCTCTTTCACGAATTATCAAATTTCATGGTGGTTTAGAGTATCCATTAGTGCGTTAGCAAGCAAAGGTGTTTGAGAATGATTTTTCACAAATTTATATAGTCCTTAGTCAGTTTGATCTTTCCTATAACTTATCAAAAATCTTTTATTTGTGATGTTCAGTTATATGAGAGACCAGCATATTTTTCCACTTGAAATGCTAAGTACTCTAGACCCAGAACACCTAAGTGAAATCAAAGAATTGAGCCCATTGAATAGTGGACTATCTAAAGCATGCAAATGTAGAGATATATGAACGCATTATTTCCTTGAGTTTTAACTTAAGCATTTAGATAGGATTCAAAAGAACCAATTTTGGGTGGCACCATTTAAGAAGGGTTGGAATAACAGTGATTGCTAGTTCTTTTGGCACCGGTTCTAGGGTGATTTTTAAATCACCCGAAAATAGAGTAGCTTAATTTTAATTGACTCTCTCAACCCATCAAATCAACGATATTTTTCCTTTTCTCAAATTCTCTTCTAATTTTACCCTCTATAAAATAGTTATTTCAAACAAAATAAAAATCACCCGAAAATATAGTAGCGTAATTTTAATTGACTCTCTCAACCCATCAAATCAACGATATTTTGCCTTTTCTCAAATTCTCTTCTAATTTTACCCTCTATAAAATAATTATTTCCAACAAACATATTTTGTTTGATACTAACTTATAAATAAAAATTTACTAACTAAAATAATTATTTGTAAGAAAAAAAATTACGTTACAATTAAAATATTAGTTATAAGTAATAACTGGAATTACTTATAAGTAAAATATTACTTATAAGTAATACTTATAAGATAAAACATTATTTTTGTGTAAAATTCTTACTAATAAG